AGCCGCAGGCGGCTGCGGCGCCGCCTGCGCAGGCTTATTCGGAGTACACGCAGAGGAAGATTTACGTGAGCAACGTTGGTGCCGATTTGGACCCGCAGAAGCTTCTCGTGTACTTTTCGCGGTTCGGTGAAATTGAGGAAGGGCCGTTGGGGCTTGACAAGGTTACGGGAAAACCCAAAGGGTTTTGCTTGTTTGTTTACAAGAGTGCAGAGAGTGCGAGGAGGGCCCTAGAGGAGCCTCACAAGGATTTCGAGGGGAATATTTTGCATTGCCAGAAGGCCATTGATGGGCCCAAGCCCGGGAAATTGCAGCAGCAGCAATACGGGAATGTTGGTCAGGCCCAGAGGGCCCAGTTTCAGAGGAATGATAATTCTAGTGCTGCTGGCTATGTTGGTGGTGCTATGGCGGCGCAGCCGGGGCACTTGATGGCGCCGGCTGGGCCGGCGATTGGGTTTAATCAGGCGGCTGCTGCGCAGGCCGCCTTGAATCCGGCGCTGGGGCAGGCGTTGGCGCTGCTGGCTTCGCAGGGAACGATGGGGCTGACTAATTTGTTGGGTGGTATTGGAACGAGTGCTGCGGTGAACCCTGTTGTGCCTGCAGCTGGGGCTGGAGTGCAAAGTGGTTACAATGCTCAGGCGAGTATAAGTCCGGGTGTTATTGGAGGATATGGGAATCAGGTGGGGTTGCAGACGGCTTATCCGAATCAGCAGATAGGGCAGGGTGGTTCCGGAAGAGGGCAGTATGGTGGTGGTGCTGCGCCTTACATGGGGCACTAGGTATGGTGTTTGTTGGTGTATGTGTTGTGCTCATTTTGTGTTTTTGGAGATTAGTGTTTTTTTGCTCTTTGGCTTGGTGTTTTTTATCTGTTGGGTGCTGTATTTTTTACTTCTAACGAGGAATAGGGTAGATTTTTGGGAATCTGAAAGCAAGGTAGTGTTTTCTGTTATGGTTATCTTGGGGGGTATAATGTCAATTTTTCTAGGATGTTAAATAGGGTATATTGATTGCATAGCATGAACTCAAATTGTGCATTCTTTTTGGCTTTTGCCCTGTCGTGTATCACCTTTGATGCATCTTTTTCTGCTTTAGAATAATTAGTTGTTTGTCTGGAACATATTGCTTTACTGTTTATTTATATTTGTTGATGAGTTTTGATAGTTGTTTCTGTCAATGTCACTGGACATGGATGATGAAACAATTGTTTTAGACGGTGACAATGGGTCTTTTTGACCCATATAGGGTCGTTATGAAAACACATTTCTCGACCAAGGCTCTATTGAAGCATTTTACTACTTTGGGGCAGTCAATCATAGGTGTTGCTAGTCAACCTAGCGCCACCCATGCCACGCCATTTATCATTATTTTTTTTTTTAAATATTAAAAAATGGACATGGGGACTATTTTATTATTTATATTTATTAGTCTTGCTTTTGTGTACTGTGGAAATTCTGCCCTTTTAATTTTAATACGAGTTGCTGTCCTCAGCTGGAGGACTTTTTTTAGTTTTTTTTAGTACCGTTACAAGCGAGGTTTTTTAGTTTTTTTTAGTACCGTTACAAGTGAGGTTGCAAGGAAGAGTGGGACTGCTGCACTTGATGTGCCACACTTCCTTGCGGCATCACTTGTAATAGTACTAAAAAAAAAAAAAAAAAGTCCCCCAGTTGGGGACAGCGGCACCTATTAAAATTAAAAAAAACGGGATTCTTGTAGTACACTAAAGCTGGACTAATAAAAAAATTTGTCCCCGGTTCCAGTGCGCCAAAATGGCGCAACATGTCCATTTTAAGGAAAAATGACATGGCGTAGGTGTCACTAACTAATGACACCCATGGCTGACTACCCGAAAGTGGTATAATGTTTCAATAGAGCCCAAGTTAGGTAATATGATTTCATAATGACCTTACATGGGTCAAAAAGCCTGACTATGGAGGCTTTAGGAGTTGGACGAGGAGTGTACGAGATATTCTGTCTGAAACAAGATCACCCTTTTATCTAATTTCATTTGTCGTTTTTTTCCTTTATAATTAAAACATTTATGGTCCTACACTTACGTTTTAATATCCATTTTCATTTGTCAATTTTCTCTCTCTGTAATTTTAAAACATTTTTAATTATGCACTTATGGTTTTATCTTCTTTTTTTTACTTCAACTTTTTGGTTACACACTCTCCCTATTAATCACACGCCTGATGGGAACGATGGACTAATAGATAATTGAGTTGAAAGAGGGTGATGAGCTCATTCGTATCAGGCCATTTACATTGGCCTTGGATCGTAGTTGTGAGTCACCCTGCTCAAGTGTTTAGTGTCATGGGTGCCCAATTTGTGGAATATTACTGATTTCAATTTTGAATTTCCTCAGTATCCCATGCTTCCCTCCAGAAAATGATCTTCTTTTTGGATGTGATCCGAAGGCAGCATGAAATTCCCAGTTTTTTTTTTTTTTTTTTTCTGGACTGTTTGGTTGTGTTTATATAACAAGGATTTGAGAAAAATCATCTTTCTTGGTTTTTTCTCACTGTAGCCTACTTCATACTGTCCTATATTTTTTGTTGGTTATAGTTTTCTAATAATGTTTAACGTTTGCAACACTTGTTTTTTCTAAAACCTTTACAACTGTGATATTTTTTGGTTGTGTTTATATAACAAGGATTTGAGAAAAATCATCTTTCTTGGTTTTTTCTCACTGTAGCCTACTTCATACTGTCCTATATTTTTTGTTGGTTATAGTTTTCTAATAATGTTTAACGTTTGCAACACTTGTTTTTTCTAAAACCTTTACAACTGTGATATTTTCATCACCTTTAAATATCAAATAATTTTGGCCTTAGTGTTTGACTTTCAATAGTTCTCGGCCAATTTTGCTTAAAAGCATGGTTTTTTGGACCCTTCCTTTTTTCCACTTAAATTGTTTTTCATGCTTTTTTATTCATTTTGCAGATTCCACATAAGTGCATCAGTCTTTTATTACTGGCCTGGTGATTCTTCTGAAGTTTAAGGAGCTGATGCAATTGGCGTGTTTATAATGAAATGTTACTTACTACCATGATCAGAATATTTAAATTACCTAATGGAGTTCTGTTTTCGCCACCTGCTTTTTCTTCTTTTCTTCCATTTCAAAATATTGTAGTATTTTGACTTTTAGTTATCTTCCAAAAAAAATTATGGAACTGTTTTTGTACTGAGAAGTTCTATCCAGATTATGCGTAGTTTGAGATGCTGAACAAATTATATTTTGAAATCTAAGTGTGTGGACCATTGTGCTTCAACTTGGTATTTATGAGCTGCCTTATAGTATTTTATATGGTTATTGGATTATGTTTCCCCTTGCTTTTGATTGTTTTATTTATTTCTTTATTTTCATTATTCTTTAATGTGTAATCATTGAAATGAAATTGCATAATATGCCAAGTGCTTTTGGTTATGAATATCATCACCCCCTTGAAAAATTAGGTTTTAAGCCAACTTATCAAGTTGTTTTTGGTCTTCATTTTACTTCTGTTAATAATAATATTTCTAGCTAATCTTTGCAGTTATTTTGCAGGTTTGACGGCCATACTTAAAATAACATGCACCAATAATATAGGCAGTTTAAATTAAAAAGGAAGAAAGACAAAAGCCTTTCATTTAAGTTTGATTCTGACAAGCTTGTACAGTTCCCACCATTTGAGAAATCTTTTTATGCACCAATGTGCACTCTTTTTAGGGGCTTCATCCTCTTTTAACATGAAAATTTTAATATTCTTGTGTGTCAAGTCATGCTTATTTAAAATTATCTTTTGGAAGCATGCCAAAGTTGGGATTTTTTTTTGTTGGTCATTCTGGAGATTTTCTCTGCTCACAGCCATATTTGTATGCTGTGCTTTCTTTATTGTGGATTAAGTTTGCATTTTCCTCCCTTTCTTCGGTTTCTCTACTTTATCTTTTCTCCAAGGACTGATCAGTCTCTATCTTTGAATCTTAACCCTTCTGTGGCATTTGATACACCATTTTTATTTTCAATTAAATCACTATGGGGATGAGATTCCCAGGAATATAAAATATGTTTAGTTATAAGTCAATTTACTTAAGAATATTTTGTTTATTCCCACTAAAAGTTTTGCAGCTTTATAGTTTATACATAAAATTTTTATTCTCATCTTTGAAAGGGGATTTATTTCCCCCCTGCTTATTCACAAATTAACATTCCTAGAAATTTTTTATGTTTGGAAATATTTTTATTTTCTTATACCAAATATGACAAGTTTTTATTCTTATGTCCCTTTATCAGACATTTAAAAACATTTCTTCTACTGAATGCCATCTTCGATGGTTGTACGGGGCTTTTTATTATCATCGTTTTCAAAATTCTTTTTTTGTAACTGTTATTGCAGAAGTGGTTTTCAAAATGTTTCTGTTATATAAGCTTCATGACATCGTCATGGATGGTCTAAATTAATTCAAACATGCACAATGTTGCATGTTTATGTTACAGGAAACCAAATTGTCATTAAAGTTGTGTTTTATGATGTTAAATTTTCAACATAAATCCTGCTTCTGAAGTAAGAGATGAAGTCAACTCAGTCATAGTGATAATGGACATGTTTGTAGCTCTGCTTATTGTCGAATGAATAGGTGGCTTTCATGCTCTGCAAGGTAAGTTGCAGTGTATGTCTAATTTCTTATTTTTGTTTTAGTTGAATAGCAGGTTTGTTGACATACTTGGTGTTGATTGAATTTTTACTGGAAAAATGTCCAATTTCTTATTCCTTTTCAAAGAGAGCTGTTGCTCAGTTTTTTTTTCTTTGCTTCTTTTGGATACTGTCAACACTTCCTGCATCTTCCCTCCTCCCTTCTTCCGATTGGAAAAAAAAAAAAAAGAAACCCAATTTTATGCATGCTCGCTTTGTCCAAAGTGAAGGCGTTAAAAAATATAATGTTTATTAGAATATATCGATACTTCAATTGCTTTTTTTTTTGGTAACTGATACTTGGATTGCTTGAAACAACTTTAATTTGCTTCCTTTGTTGAAATAAAAATTTCATGTGGCATTCATTATGTTGAATAGAACTTCGGATTTGCTTGGATAATTTTTTTACGAGCAATTTTGAAAGGGAAAATTTATTAGGGAAAAAATAATTAAGTTTTCTGTAAATTGAAATTAGCATATACTTCGGTTAATATATTTTTTAATAAAAAAAGTTGATTTAATTTGTGAATAACTTAATTTTAGCAAGAAGAGATTTATTTATTATCTCTTGTAAGTGTTCATGGAGAAAACTGTTGAGGCAACATCAAGGTTTTCAAGAGTTCCATTAAGATGTTTATTTCATTTCAATCCTTGTAAATTCGTGTTTACCAGTAAAATGTAAATGTAACACTGTATTGTTGCACTTTGACTGCCCTGGGCTTTGATCGTTTTAAGTTTTATTCTTCTTACCACTGTAATTAGGGCGATTTAAGTTAGGTCATGCGCCTTGTTTTAATTTTATATGCATAATTCGTAATTTGTATAATAATCTATAAAATCTGGTAAGATCAGGAATTGTTTGTTTACTTGATTTTGACACCTATTAATTCAAATGATTTAATTAATTAAATTCAATCGTTAAGTTGATTCAAGGTTCCTCAGTGTAGTTCATAAGCCTGTGCAGTTAAAGTAATATACTTCTTACTCTCAACAAACTCACTCAAATTACTTTCTAATTTGGCATTCTTGATAAATTGCCTTAAAGATTTTGAAAATATTTTCAAACTGTTCCTGCAACTTATGTGGTGCTCTCAGCCTCATCAAAGGTGAATAAACCTTAAAATATTGTATATTATAGGAAAAAACAGCGGTTCAAGTTATGCCACAGTAATACTATAAAACCAAGGCAGTTACAATCAAAATTATTTATTGAAAACATTTTAGCACGAATACAATATTCAGATTCAAAATTAGTGAAGATACAAGTGCACGAACATTTTGTCTGTGGCTGTAGGTATAGGGAGAAGACAATCAAAATATCTCTCCATGATGTGTGGTTAGCATTGTCCTAAAGAATTTATTTGCATTATTCTACGCAAGTCTAAGAATACAACAGGACCTTTTTCGTGGCTTTCACCAAGACTAGAACTGGCAAACATTCATAATTTGGAACCCAGAGCAAAAGGAGAGAAAAGAGAAGTGGAGTGGTGCTTTTCGGTGTTCTTTCCTCTTTAACAGATGTGGGTGTATATAGGGAGTGAAAGGAGCACCAATAGCCAGAAAATTAAATTATTTAAAAATAGTTAATTAAAAAAAAAAAAATTACGAAGAAGCTCATGTATCTCGGCTAGGGGGAACATATTGACTTAAATGCTTTACAACAAGCAAAGCATGGTTCACATTCATGTGTCCATGTTTCATCACTATTGCAAATATTGTTTTTTTATACAACTCATTTTCCAAAATCAATACTAGTGGATCGGGGATTTCAAACCTCTTTCTAATAACACATATATACAACATTTTTAAGTTGTAACATGATAAAAGGTAACATTTAACTATCTATCTATTTATAATATAAAAGTTGGGTTTATATTACAATATATTATTTTAAAATGAATTTTAGACGTCATATTAGTGAAAATTTTGAGATGTTATTTTATAATCTCTTCCTTTTTTAATATATTTTTTTATATAGATCAACTAGAAATTTCCTTCCAAAAACTTAGTTATAAATTTACTTTAGAAAATTTAGTCTCTCTGCACTTTCCAAGTAAATTGACAGTCTCATCATTGTCATTTTCATACTCCACTTATTCCTTAATGACAATCTCATCTCTAATATGATATTCTTATCCTTTTCTCCTCCACCACCTTCACCTTGACCAAGTGTGACACCAACATCAAACTCTTCATGCTAAGATCATGTTCGACAAGGATAAAAGGTTATCTATTTTTTTTTCTCTTTCAAACATATTAACAACCTTACCATTGTCATTGTCATGTTCCACCTCTTTCTCAACGACTACCTCCTCCACAATATGATGCTTTTATCCTCCTCTTCTCCATCGCCCTAACCATGGCCAAATGTGACATCAACATTAATCTCTTCATGTCAAAATTATGTTCTATAAGGATAAGAGATCATCCATTTCTACTATATTGTTTTTATCTTTCGATTTTACAAATGATTAATTCTTAAATATCTTCTTAACTTATTATATAAATGAGGCAGTGTTGCAGATTCTTTATGGATGAGACAATCCTGTACTGTGAGATCTCTATGGATGGGGTAACATTACACATCTTTCATGGACCTAAATTGTGGATTATTGATTGATGAGGTAATATTGTGAACCCTAATGGGTGAGAAAACATCGTACTACTAGATCTCGCATAGAATTAAACAACAAATTTTGGGAGAATCATGGAGTTGAACTACAAACTTTGGAAGAATCATGGAATTGAGCTTTTTCTTCATCTTTACAAACTTCCTTCATTATTTTAATTTAATTTGTATATTTTTCTTTGTTTAGAAGAGTTTTAGAATTACTTTTTGAAATTATATTTTTAGAATTATTTAAATTTTGTCTTAGAATCTTCATATTTTTTTGTTATATAATTTTAATTAAACAAAATAAAAATAATATGAATGTAATTGCGTTTTATTGTAATTGTAGGTAGTATTCATTCCTTCTCATATTTCATTCGCTCCATGTAGTTGATGTTTAAATTGCTGCCTCTTATTTTTCTTCATTCTAATCATAAATCATATTTATTTTTTTAATCTTTATCTAATATCTATTGTAATTTTCTTCTCTTTTAAATTCTTTTAAACTTTTTTTTTTCTTCTAAACTTTTTAATCACATAATTTTTTCTTTTCAATTCCTATAGTTGTGTAATATTTCTTTTTAGTCCTTCTAAATTGCATAAAAATTTTCTTTTAGCTTCTAAAAAAATAAATGATAGGGATTAGAAGGGAAAAAAGATATGTATAAAAATTAAATGGATTACTTTTAACTCTAAGAACTAAAAGATAAAGTTAAGAAAGAAAAATAACATATTTCTTGTATAGGAGATAACAATTTACTCTTTTTTACATACAAGAGATAAATACAATAATTTATACTGTATTAAAGTTGGATTTACTTTTTTATATTTTCTCCACAAATAGTTACATTATAAAATAATAATATTATTAAAATATTATCATAGTTTCACTTTGTTATTAATGACAGTTGTCAAAATAGGTTTGGTTTTATAGGTTGGCTTGTAGACCCATCAAGAAGAATTTATTATTTAAGGCTCAAAAAAAGATATAACTAATTTATTTTAGTGTGATGGACTAATCAAGTTAGATCAATCCAACCAAAGTTAGGTTTAAAAGATATCAAACCTAATTAGTCCATTTTTTTCTTTTAAATTACATGTAAAACTAATAAAATAAATAAATAAAGTGGCTCAATCTAACCTACCCCGATAGACCAAAAAATACTAGAACCTTATAAAAGTTAGGTTAGTCCATTTCTCATGTGACATGTTGGGCTCTTGACTAGTCCAATTGATAACTCTATTATTTATGATTAATTTTATGCATATTTTTTTGTAAAGAAAAATTATAAAAATGGTTGCAATGAAATAAAATAAAAAAAAATTGCTCAACTAATACAAATATATCAACTTAAGTATTATCATATTTAGTTGTTATATATCACTCTAACCTTGTTTTGTTTTATCTATTCCATTGAAAAAGATTAAAGCTAATTTCCAATTAGCATGAGGTTTCTAACAACTGATACATATAATATATGATTATTTTATTTTTACTTTAGGTCGAGCTTCAATCACATTTACCTCAAACACAATATATGCATGTTCAAGGATATAATTTTGTCAACAACTTTTGTAGTGGAACTCATTCAATGCAATCTATGTTTTTAACAAGAATTTTCTTTGTTTTTGGAGATCTTACCTGATATGATTTTAGTAGTATATATAAGTAGGGTAAAATCTTCACTTTAAAATATGATTTTGTAAAGTTAAATTAAACTAAAACTCACTTTTTTAAGATGGTGTAAAAGTCTATCTTAGCGATTATTGATTGTTGTCCAACTTATCATGTTAGTCATTATTGGATTAGTCGGGAGCAATTCTCACCTATGAAGACAATTTTGTAAAGTTAAACTAATATTTTAATTTGTGATGAATTAATTCTACACTATCATTTAATAATGGTCAGACATATAATTTAATCCTACATATGTTGTGGATTCACAATTTGATTCCTATATGTAAAAAAATTATTAATTAAATTAATCCCTATACTAGGCATGAAAATAGGGCGAGGCGGGTTTTATGTTTCCCGCCCCCGCCTCAATACCGCTAAAGATAAAATTTGGGTATCCATTCTCGCCTCTGATGAGATTTGGATTTTTCCACCTCGCCTGCACTCCTGGACTTGTTTTTTTCTTTTTTTTTTTTGTTCTAATAAATATGAAAAAATTTAAAAAAATAATAAAAGAAAATCAAAATAATACAATTTTTTACATTTTTTTTTTACCAAAATGCCTCTTGAATAGTTTAAATAATATGTAAGGGTAATTTTATAATTATATTATTAAGCGAGACGATGCGAGTATTAATATCCTCGTCCCTGATTTTGCAAATTGGAGAAAACTTGAACCCAAACCTGATCAATATAGATTTTTTCCATCCAAATCGGGATGAGTTTAAGTGGATACCCACAAAGCCAGATTAAAATGTCATGTTTATTCTATACATGCAAATGTTACTAATTTAGTTCCTAAAACCATATATTCTTTTACATATTCTTAATTTATTCCTTATATACGTACCACATTCTTAATTTTGTCCTACACAATTAATTCATCCTTAATTTAATAAACCATCAGTGTGCTACATACATAAGAATTAAATTTAATAATATGTAATGAACTTAATGAAGTAAGGGACCAAGCTCATAACATTTAACAAGTACAGAGAATAAATTTATATGTATAAAGACCAAATTCTCCCCCAAAGACTAAATTATATAGTTAATTTATATATATATATATATATATATATATATATATATATAT